CAGATAAATGATTCATGGCTTTGGTTCTGATGCTCAATTTACTAGCAAAAAATAAAGGAAGGGGGTTGCCTTATTTTCCTGAGACGTAATAAACCTGCTCTCCATCCCTGCCTTTGTTTTTATTATCTTTCTGCTATAATTTAGTTATTTCTATAATTCTTTAGGTGTATCCTGGCATGTGCCAGTGGAGTCTCTTGAAAGGAGGATTAAATGCAAACGTAGGTATGTGGCTCAATGGTCTTCAATGCCATAGCTCACCTGGTGGTAGTGAAAGGAGCAAGCCTCTGGGAATATGGATGGCTGCAGCTTCCATTCTGTTCAAAAGCAAGTGACCCCAAGCTCCTGGAAGTGGTCCTGATTATGGCTTTGGCAGGGTGCCTGTTCTCAGGAAGGACACAAGTCCTTCTCCCCACCCCAGGTGTATTGCACACTGTTCCAGAGATTTGCCATGGCAGGTGTTTCCCTGCAGACTGTTCCACAGCTGCTGTGCCCACTCTATTAGAAAGCAGCCCTGATAGGAACTGACAACCAAGGTGGTTCAAAGAGATTATCCCTAAAATAATAACATTCCATTTTTTGTCTTGAAGGGATAGGTCTCATCACGAGGAAGCCAGTGTTGGACACATACAGGATGTGCTGTATGGAATATACATACTTCTGCTTTCTGTATGGAAGTGTTAGCATTTTTGATTTTCAGTGAAAAAGACCTTTAGATTATTCCTTTGCTCCCTTTATCTCCCAAAAGCAATAGAGATGACTGGAATTGGGAGTAGGGAAGTATATCTGTATAATAGTCTTTTCCAAGAGAAACTACAATTAAGACAGTCTTCAGCCTTGCCAGCCCACTCAAAAATTACTTAGTGTGCTTCCCAGTGTTGGAAGACTTAAAAATGACCATGTTTGTAGATGGGAGTTGAGTTGGCTTCTTTGAGATGTTGTAAGTCCTATTTTACAATCATGTTTTAAAGCCAAGACTTCCTTCTTTCACAATGGAGGTTATGCTTCAGATGAAATGACACAAAGATGCTTTGGAGAAAGAAAAATATCTGTGGGCTAGAATTCAGAATACAGATGTCAAATGCAGTAACTGTGCATCATTTTATGCCAAGTAACTTGGGGAGATGAAAACCCACCAGGAACTGTGTTAGTGAGGAAAGCAGGTACTGACCCTGTAGGATTAGACTGATTTAGTGAATGGGTTGAAGTGGGGTGTCTGCCATGGCATCATGACCTGCAGTTCTCATTTAGTCATATAAATGTTTTTTTCTGGAAGTTCTGCCTGTAGCAAAACTTGATGGGGAAGTTCCAAGATAATCTGTTGGCAACAGATTCCTCAATGTTTGGACAAAAGAGACTTCTACTGAGTGGATCTCTGTTCAACTGACATGGACAGGAGGAGGGTGAAGAGTATGTCTTCTGCCCTGGAGCTGATTTCAGAGCAGATAAATTTATTAATTTATTGCTTTCTTGGAAACATCCTCTCTGACTGAGAATTTATACGTGCAGTTGTTAACAACACAGAGGAAAGGCTGGCAAGATTGTGGCACAATGTGGGAGTGTATTAGCAGCCAGGGCACAAGGCAAGTGTTAAAAGGATTCTCTAAAAAGGAAAGAATTCCTTTTTGAAGGAAATTTGTCACTTACCAGTGTGAAAAGAAGGAAAGGAGGATGCAAAGGAGTCACTAAGCAGAGAAGAGAGAAATAGATAGGGCTGGAGATTTTCACCTACTGTAGCACATCAATTCAAAGATGAGCCTGAACTGTTAATGGTTTAGGATATGAGGCATATGATCCACAGAAAGGCTTCAGAAAGGCTATAGGATGTTCTGGATGTGAGCAAAAGCAGTTATTCCAAGACAGACATGTAGGAACAGCACCTGGTGAATTCCAGCAGCAGCTAGAGTGCAGTATCTGCAGGGCTGCAAGTGACAGGCAGTAGTCAAACAATTGTCAACTCAAAGTCATGGCAGTTTTCTGTAGGATCCCATCCAACACTCCTTTTAAATCATTGGAAAGATTCCTGTTGGCTTCAGTTTGAAGGCTCCTTCTCACCTACACCCTGCCCTAGCCAGGACCCAGCTGCAAAACTGACACCAGGCACTGCTCTCATGAGGAAGTGGCCAGCACTTAGAGCTGTTGGTGGCCCTCCCCTTCCCATGCACTGGTGGGCACCAGCAAAGCCCAGCAAAAGCTGTCACACTCTGGAAGGCAGCAGAGACCTGCCTGGGCATCAGCAAAGCCCAACAAAAGCCCTGTGGTGCTCCACAGGGAAGCTGGGCCTCATATGGGCCTGGCAAAGCCTGGCAGAAGCCCTGGGACACTCTGAAAGGCAGCAGGGCCCCTTGCAGGGCAAAGTAAAACTTAGCAGAAGCCCCAGGGTGCTCTGAAGGGAAGCAGGGCCCCTTGTGGGAACGACAAAAGTCATCAGATAGGGTTAGGTGGTTGTGGTTAGGTGTAGGGTTAGGGACATGGGTCAGGTGGTTGTGGTTAGGTGTAGGGTTAGGGACATGGGTTAGGTGGTTGTGGTTAGGTGTAGGGATATGTTTAGAGTTGGGGTTAGGTTTTGTTACATGGTTTGCGGTTTAGAGGTAGGGGTGAGGTTTAGGCCTTGGAGTTTAGGTTTAGGGGTTGGGGTTAGCTTCATGGTTAGCATTAGGGTTGGGGATTATGGTTAGGTTTTGGGATTAGGGTTTATAGTTAATATCTTTATGATTAGGTTTCTGTCTTGGGTTTAAAGTCACATGGTAAATGTTGGGGTTACAGTGTTAAATTTAGGGTGTTATTTTTAATGTTTTGTTTTATAGTTAGGAGGTGGAGATTTGATTTAGGTGTTAAAATTAGCATTAAGTTTTAGAGTTCGTTTTAGGAGTTAAATTCAGGATTAGGATTTAGTGCCTTACATCTTAGATTTAGTGTCATTGTTAGGATTTATTGTTTGGGTTAGGGCTAAAGTCAGCTTTTGGGTTGTGATTTAGAGATTTTTTAAAATAGATCATAGAAATTAATAAGATTTGTAATGGACATGGTATCTGTATGTATAGACTATTTGCCCTTGTTCTACATGCTGTTTTTAGAGGGCAGTGGGATTTGGAAACTGGGTGAGTTGATGCATATAGCAACAGGTGTTTTGCCTATCACAAGCAAGATTTTGTCAGCAGAATTGGCCCGGACACCACGTAGACTGCAGCTAGAATACAAGATGGTTTAGTACAAGTGTGAGCTCTCTAGACCCCTTGATAGGGATTTGAGAAGCCAGTCAGGCATGCAAGTGATACAAATCCAGGAGGAATTACTGCTGCTTTGGAAGACAGGCTCATGGAGCAGGCATGCTTTCATGACTAAATGAAAGAACCATTGGTGTCACTCGAGAGATTCATGGAAAGCAGTTCATGCAGCCAGAAATAGTCAGATGCACAAGTAGAAGAGTGGCAGAGATGTCAAGGAATGTATCAGGAGCTGTAAGATATGATGACTAACAGTAAAAGTCTGCTGCTCCTTGTGGGAGCAGCAGATGCCAGTCACGCCGACTGTCACTGGTAAGTGAATCCCAAATCATATCAGCCAGGCTTTACTCTGATGTCCTTAGCATGTGTTAAACTAGTACACAAAAGAACTAACAAAAAAAAAAAGAAAGCAAAAATGCATACACACGTTTTTTGAGAAGCACAACAGAGACAATGACCAGTTTAATAAAAAAGGAAGAGAATCAGCGGTGTTTAATCCAGGAAAATAGGCAAAATGGGGTTGTCATAGCCTTTTAAGGGTGGATAAAGGTATATTTTGCAGTTGGGATAGTGAATCAGTAGCCATGAGGCATGGAACAAGCCCTGATCTGATGCATTTTTCCTAGAGCTAGTTAAGAATAGATTATGTATTTTTAATATAGCTATGCTTTAGTATGGAAATTAAAAAGGAATTTAAAAAATCAAATAAACCCAATTGTTAAGTGACTTAATAATCACCTTTAACATTCCAGATGAGTTCACAGCTCTCTAACCAGAGCTAATGCTACAAATTCTCATTTGGTGCAAGAGAAGCAAAGCTGATGGACTGTGTGATGCCAGGACTCAAGGCTGATGATGTGTCTATGTTTAATCACTGGATTTCAAGTTGAAAGAAAGGAGCTGGCAGAGCAGAAGACTTGGTGCTGTAATTCATCTCAGCATTTAAACTGAGTGGCAGGATCTCCGATGAAGCAGCAGAGGGAACAGGGATGCAGCTCTAGCAGCTGGAGTGCAGAGAGGAGTGGCCTGGCCAGAAGAACAGGGTGTGCAAGTCTGATTACAGGGTGTACACCAAGAGATGGTAAGCATTGCCATTCATATAATATAGCTTAGTGCCCAGAGATGCAATGGCAAAGCCCAAGCCCCTGTCAGTGCTTTAGGTGTCTGCACTCAACATTTCTGTCAAGGTTTCTTAGAACTGAGAACTCTAAAACTGTTTTTGCCACAGTTTTCCCCAGAAAATACTTCTGTTTTGCTCTGAGCCAGCAAAAAGCAGCAAAATCCAGCTTCCCAGAGTACAGACAAAGGGAACAGAGCCCTTCTGACAAAGAAACAGGACTGGTGTACGCTGGCATTGAGGCAATGAGAAGGGAAAGATTTGTGGTAATCTTTGGAGGTCTTCAAAGAAAACACTGTTCTCCAGTCAACAACTGGAGATTGTTCACAGAGACTCTCTTGTGAACAGAGTGTGTTGTAAAGTCATTAAAGGGGTAGCATAAATTTATTACTGAACCAGAAATTGGAGTGACTAGGGCCAAATAGCAGAACAAGAACAAAATGCCCACTTGGCACATCAGGACAAGCAAGAGGGTCCACTGAAAGGAGGGATATCTCAAGTTGAGGCACTCCCAGTGACAGTTTCCAGCACCCACTTGCCTTTTTCTCACTCCCCATTGAATGCCTCAGCCTAGAACTCAGCAAGGTTAGGGGCATGGGAGCCTCACCCTCATCTCTCTCTCATGGCAGCAAGTCTCCAGACTTGGGGAATGCAGCCAGTCACTGACCAGGCTCTTCAGAGGCATGTAGAAAAGGCAGCTCCTCACTCAGTGCTTTAAATCTCAGGACTCCTTCCTCCAAGTCGATGCAACACTAAAGAAGGAGAGGGACAGTTATTTTCTGGACATTTCAGATAGCAAATCTCATTATGTCTATGATTAGGGAGCACCTGTAACACCTCTCTGGGTTTGTAGAGACCTTACAGGTTTCCTTCCCTGTCCCACATGCTGCCTCCTTGCTCCAGCCCCCTGTAGTGGGGTTCATCTCCAAACCCTTCACAGGGCCATTTCCCTCCCTTCTTCCTATGACCCTCTCTGAGTTGATGTCCTCACATCCCTCAGCCATTCAATCCATTGGTTTTTCTTGTTTTATGAGCCTGGCATGTGGCCACAAGTGTGTGACAGGCAGGAACCAGCTTGCTGCAGCCATATCCTGAGCCACCCAGGAGCCAGGTTCAGCAGAGCACTGACCCTGAGCCAAGCTGACAAAAGGACTCTTTCCACTCATGGCAGTGAGTGTTGGACACTGAATGTGATCACACAGCTGCACTTGGCTTAAAGCAAGGGCACAGCTTGTTCTCATCTGCCTTCCAAGGGCAACATGGGTCTAAGTCGTGCCTTTTCTTGTCTCCTCTTCAGTTTCCTCCTGCACGTTGTATGGTCAGGAATACAGAAAATGGGAGATGTGATAGTATCCTACTGAGTGTTTTCTTTCTTAAAACCTTTAAGAAGGGCTGGGAAGGAGTCAGTGACTCAGAGCATACTGCACCCAGTCAGGCAGCTGTGTGACAAGCATTGCCCTGAGAGACCTGGACATTAAGTAATTTTGATGTTTACAACAACCAGATCTTGGAGAGCTTCCTGAGAGGAGCCCTGCAATAAGCAAGGAGCTGTTCCTTACCTTAAGAGACAACAGAGTCTGGAGGCCAATGCAAAACTCCAGCATTTCATCATCTGAGAAGAGAGAAGAGACTGATCAGGCTTTAGGTTATGTAATACTGCCTCATTAAAGAAAGTGTGTCTCTCCTGTAAAAGGATATGAAATACAAGAACATCTGATTCATGAATTTTTATGAATCAATATGAAGCAGATAAAAAATAACAAAGAAAAGGATGAGTTAAACACACCAACATTAACAAGCAGGTGGTAGCAGTGACAATAATAAATCTCTCTTCTGTCACTCACTGATGAGCCTTTAAAGGAGCTGTTTAGGCACAGTCCTGTAGATGGTCAAAATGAACTTTGCAGCTGATAAGAGAAGGAAACCATGATTATCATGACTACTATGAGATAAATTTGAAGGTGTTTGTGTGATTGTTTGAAACTTAATATGAGACATCAGAAGGGGCTTGTGAGATCCCATGAAACTTACTGTGGGCTGTGTAAGGGAAGGACAAAAGGCAGAAGGCAAGCAGCAGGGTGAATCAGGGGAGAACAAGCATGGGAAAATGGAGATGAGAGGGGATAAGGGTCACATGCAAGCAGGCTCTTGGTTTAGTTTTCTGACCAAAGCCTGCACCTAATGGCTGCAGTCTAACTGATCTTATGAAATAATTTTGTTAAGATGTTTTTTTCCATGTAACTTGTCTGTCCTACTCGTAACCACTGCAAGTCTTCAGTGTCAGCAAACATAGAAGATGCCAGGGGTTAAAGTGGTAGCTAAGGGGAATTCCCAGGTCCTGGAGTCTGCAGTAATCAGCAGCCACTTGTAATTTCATTAGCACTTCACATGTCTCCTGGAGGCCTGCTTGCCCTGTAACCAGTGGCTGTAATTTACAATTTATTTCTACCACATAAGTGAGAGCACAGGGAGATGTAAGACACAGGTGTGGCAATTCTGCTCCTTCCAGGCAGCCATTTCCATGTTCCAACAAAATGGGTAGTAGGTAGTAGCTGTGGGGTAAATTCACCTGTTATGGTGCTAGTACAGATTCCCCATGAAGGGCAAGAACAAGCAGAATGGAAACCAGGAAAGAAGAGCAAGCTGGAGTGTGTAGGAGGAGGAAGCTCTTTCTAGATTACTTAGGAATGTGGGAAAAACGTACATGAAAAGAGGGAGCAAGAGAAGCCTTGGAAAATGAACAGGACTCATTGAAGATGGGGAAACAGATTAAAGCAAGAAGGTAAAGCTGGAAGACTAATAGGGAGAAAGATCGGGGGGGAAAGAAGACAATCCCGTTATTTTCAGCATATGCACAGCTTGATGTAAATGCAGAACATGCACCCTTCCTGCTGTTTTCTGGGCCTGCCTCAGTGCCCCCTGGCCTGACCTTGTCTCCTATGGCTCCTTCCTTCACAGGGTCCTGCTGCAGGACACTGAAGGAGACTTAGCACTCTGGGGCTTCCAGGTTCTTTCAGGGTGCTCCCTGCAGCAGAGGCAGAGGAGCACACAGAGAAGCACTCTAGGAAATAAGCTGTACCCTCTGTTACTTTCTCTGATGACTTCCAGACAGCCAGAGACACAAGTGCCCATTCCGTAGGAGAACATAAGGCACCAGAGGATTTATCAAGCCATCTGCAGAATTTTATGAAAGCTCCATTTTAGAATTGAAATGAGAATTCAATTCAACTAAGATTTTTCACATCCTTAGTTAAGACTGAAAAAGGACCTAATTTCTCCCCACTTTCAATGTCTTCTCTGTACTCTTCCTATGCCCTTTGCCTTTGGTTACATTGAGGGTATTCACTTGTATGGTGATGTTGGCCTGCAGTAGAGGTGGCCACATCACCAGCCTTCCACCATGTCATGCTTTTTCCAAAGGTCCTTTAAATGCCCTTGGCAGGGCAAGAGGGACACAGGAGAAACAAGGGAGAGGAGGGACTGGCACTCTCACCTACAACCAGTGCTGAACACAGCACTGTCTCCTGGCCAAATTGCAACTCCAAATGTTCTACTCGGCCAACAACGCTGGGGATGGGAGGAGAGAGGTCTCCACAGTCCATGGCAGACACTTCTTCCAGCCTGTGGGACACAAGAGGTATTATTGCCTCAAGCAGAGGAAGAGGGGGAAAACCAGGACTTCTCACAGATGGCAGTTCTTCTGGGCCTCACTGGGAACAGGCCCACAAGAGGGGGATCTCTTTCATAGCGTATGCCTGGAGGCAGATTCAACCAGCAAAACCTCAGCACCAGCCACCAGCTGGGCAGCTTTGCCTTACAGCACAGGCAGGCAGAAATGCACAGCTCTGCTTCAGAGCCTGGGGTCTGCACACACCTTTGCCAGTGCTCTAATGCCTTTCCCTGTAGCCCACCCTCTGCATCTTCTCCTCAACAGCCATGCCAGTCATTATCCCTGGGGATGGGAATCCAGAGTGCCTGGGTTCTTGCCATGGTTTTTCCTTTAGCCATCCCTCCTTTTGTACTGTGCAAAGACTTACCCCAGCTGGTTTAAACACCTCTTGGAGATGAGGTTTGGTAGACACCCAGTGTTAACAGTTGCTTTCAATACCTGACCTTGGCACTAGAAAAAACAACAACAGATAATTACTGTAGGCTCAAAATTGGCATATTCACTCCTCCAACAGTGTGACTTAGACTTTCTGAGCAACATAGCCAAGTTGTGGTGTTTTAGGCAGTAGTCAGAAGGCAAGAGTTTCATCCAAGACAATGGTGGTTTCCTCAGTGCTCTGCAAATCGCTCTCAAACACTTCTTTTTGAATTTGTTTTCCTTCATTTGTATTTGATTGCCCAGACATTTATCTTCGTGTGACTTTAACTTAACAGTATTCCAGTCAGGAGATGCACAGTTAGAGAAATTGTTCATAAAACCAACATGGACTTTGTTAGCAGAGCAGTAAGTAATATGCAAAATTTTCAAAGGAATACAAGAATGTGCTAGTTTTTCTCTCCATTTTTTCTGGTATTGCAGGGAACAATGTCCTGGAGCTAAACGTTTATTCTCAGCAGAAAAGCTGCCAGAGGGAGAAGTCTGAAGGAGAAGCAGGAGCACCCAGGACAAACACACCTGAAATGAGCTTAAATTTAAGGCAGTTCCCAAGATAACTGGCAAATCCATGTGACTCCTGAATCCAAGACACAACTTAATCAAGAGATGACTATTTTGTGTAGGGCTTACATCATATTCCTGTATAGCTCTTTAAGTTTATAAGACATGATATTACAATAGTCATAGCTGGTGTCATTTGGCAAAGGGGCCTGCACCCTGCCCTGCACCCAAGTAACCTGTGCATGATTTTACTGGAATAGTTCCCAGTGCTTTGCTCATTTCATTTCTTTACCACTTAGAACATGAAAGGGAAAAGAAGATAAGGTTGCCATCTGTTTTCTGTCCCCTCTGCAGAGAGGTCCTTAATGGCAGGCCTGAGGTGATGAGGTAGCAGCAGGTCACATTTATTTTAGGGGGTCTGAAAACAGCATCATCCAGAACATCAATAAGAATTAGGTTGAGGAAAAAAAAAAAGGAGAAACAGGACTTAGTAAAGGAACAGGAAAAGATGGAATAACTGTCATCTACAAAATATATCTTTACCTATGGTGCCTGATCATACCTGTTCTTGATGGCCTACTTCTTCAAGGCTCTGTTTTACACCACTGCCCCAAAAAAACACCAAAAAATCCCACCCACAGAATTTTCCTTTGGGGGGCTCATTGTATTCCTACTATCATTTGTGTTTTTCCTGTGATTCATTCTCTTCCATCCACTATGGCACTCTGTGACATGAACTACTCAGAAGCAGCAACAAACCTGCCACTTCTTCTCTACTCTCATGCTCAGTTCCAACAAGTTTAAATGCTTGAACACCTTAAGCAGACCAGCATGGCTATGAGGGACTCTGTGCAGCACCAGCAGGGTCAAGGAAAATGTCTCAATCTGCTGATTTCTTATCTAAGCCTGTGTATGATTATTAATCATCACCGAGAGCTGCATCCAGTATTTCCAAGATTTCATTTTCCAAAACGTGCTATCTCTGAGTAGTTATAAAGAGAAAGAAGAAAACAACTCCTGTGAGAAATACTGGAATGCTGCAAACAGACAATACCAACAGGGTCCCTTTCAGCCCAAACCATTCTGTGATTCTATGGCAAAATCTGATTTTAGAGCTCTGCAATATCTGTGCTGCCTGGTCCTCCCTAACACATCAGCCCTGCCTGTAAAGACTGTGGCCAGACTAAGCAGAGAGGCAAGATAATGCACAGAGTGCAGGTGCATGCCAAACATCTGCCTCCACATCCTCTTTACTCAGAAACAAGACCTGGAGCATGGATAGCAATTGCTGAGGAATCACTTGGGAGCAGCAGATGCATGAGCTGCTGCTGTTATAATAAGCCTAAGCTGTATCACTAGGCAGATTACTGAGTTTTGTTTCAGAGCAGGCTGGGAAATCTGCAAGTTGGAGACTTGACAGGATATAATAGGACAGTGATTATTCTGTAGAAAACAACATTTAATCTCATTGAGTGTAAACAGCTCTTCACCACTAACCATTTCCCTAGAGAACTCACCAGGAGCCTGAGAAAAGTCCTTGGTCCAGCGTACCAAAAATACAATGCAGGCAGCTCATAAGCACTGCAAGGCTTCTTGGACTAGAAGGACTTTTCATCACTTTACCCACTCTCATGTCTACTCCAGAATTTTCAGTCTGTTACTACCAGTCACGTTTATTTGTTATCTAAATGTCAATTATCAGAATTTCCAAGAAAGAGGGGAAGGGGAATCAGTAAGGATCACTATAATGAGCTGTGTTTTCTGAAATGATGTCAGTTCTAAAGTCAAGAAGCTGCTTTAGCAAACAAAAGGCTGATCAATCCCAGGCTGCTTTGGCATAGAGGAAAACTGGCCTTCTACAGCAGTGAAGTTTTTCAGCATCTATTTCCAAGTCAACAAGAGACAAGCCTCACCACAAAAAATAACAGCTTGATTTTATGTTGCAGAGGCCAATCATGACTAGTTTTCCAAACTACTTTTCAAAAACTGTCACAAAAAGGGGCAATTATGCTAAAGTACCATCAGGGCAACCCACCTAAGCAAATACGAGGGTGAGTGACTGCAGTACAACTATTATAGACTAGGTCTGTCTGTGATCTCTGGGACTTAGACATAGGGCAACTAAAGCCTGTTAGAGTGAAAACACTTACTGCCTGAATCTCCATGTACTATTGAAGTCTACATATATTTGAGTTTATTCCCTAGTCAAATTCAGTTACAAGTCTTAGTGACTTTACCTTAACAAGTATTCCAGTCAAGAGATGCACAGATGCCTTTGTTACCCCTTTGAGATTTTCAGCATACTTGCCTGTGTGTAAATGGTAGATTCGCTTTTTGCAGGAGTCAGGGAAAAAAAAGACTTCTCTGGGGCTGTGCTCCATTTCTAATAAAAACTACACTATAATCAAGCAGATCTCCAAAAGGTACCAGCTCACCTCTCTGGTTCAAATGAACTGGCAGCCTGAATCCTATTTCCTGCCACAGCTCTGTTACTGACAGCAGAGGCTTTTTGAAGTTCACAAATGTAAACATCAAAAGCAGCAAGACAAAAAGAAGGGGAGGAGAGCTTCCCTTCCTTCAGTGTAAGATCAAGTGTGACAAACAGTGACTGGCTCCTAAGAAGGGCAGAAAAAGAGAGAAACGCCTGTGCAGAATTCAGGGAGCGTTACACGCAGTGTTAGGTCTATTTCCTTGCTTGTGATGCTCATTAACCTTCCCCTGTGAGGGAAAATAAAACGTGGGTGACAGCTGGGGTTCAGTGCAATAGAAACACAAAAGGGAATGCCTGGTGGACTGTAACACTGACTTAGCTACTGTCCCTGTACATGCCTGTCCTTGTTCAGTATGCATGCCTGGCAAAAATACCACCCTTTATCAATAAACTTCCTCCTGCAGAACAATAAGGAGAGGCTATTAAAGAAAAAGAAACACCTTTATTTGCTCAAAACCAGGCTCCAAGTAATTGGAGAAATTACCCTGAGAGCCATTCATCCTGCCAGTCTGTCCCCAGGTGCGGTTAGTTAACCCAGCTATATTAAAGTCTAAAATGCAGGGTAAGCAATGCCTAATTGCAGCAGTAAAGGTTGCAAAACAAACCAGACAGTGGCTTTGCTTGGTACTGAGATATCTGATCTAAGCCTTTCAGAAACTTGCTACCAGGCTGTGTTCCTATTATAATTTATTGTGCTAAATGAATTTTCAAAGGTATATATATTTTTCTTGGAAGTGTAGCCTTTACACTCAGATATGGGAGACATTCTGTAGGACAGGTAACTGAACTAAAACCAGCTTTAAAATGGGTTTTGTACAACAGGTCTGTATCTTGGTGAGTCTCATGTCTGCATGTTACTGTGCAGCTCTAAGCATCCAGCCCTCTTCTGTGGGCCACAGTTTTTGGATGTGCTTTCTCTAACTGCAGGGACCAGGGAGTAGTGTGCTCTGTGGTATAGGAGGATATAAGAAGAAAAGGAAGCTAAAAATACTGCTTCCATCAAGAGATGCAACTGTGCTAATTTGGAGCACAGTTATCCACTTTCTGAGGAGCTCCTTTGACACCTGAGAGAATCAGACTAGACTGGAATTAGTTAAATGTAAATCAGCTAGAGGCACTGTCTTCAAGTGATAAGGAGACATTCCTTGCTTCTACATGCAGTTATAAAATACCTCGTATCATGGGAAAGCTGGCCTTCAAAGGAAGGAGATGTGATTATGGTAATTTATGTTCAAATATGGGCAACTAGAAGAGGACATGTAGCAGAAAGGCTTTCCTCTGGCTTTTGGGAAACCTGCATCCAGATTCTAGGAGAGGCCATGCATGAAATCTCTTCTTTTTGGCTGCAGCTGGCTTTGAAATTTATAACTCAGCATGGCCCTTGGGAGGAGGGCAGCTGGAACTCAGTGCTGCTGATTTCACAGTGATGGCAAATGCTCAGTGTTGTTGCCTTACCTGGCACTGTATTAGCAGGGGTGAAGTCTCTTTTCTCCTGTCCTTTTCCATTTTTTCATCCTGGTCCTTTGCCAGCGGAGATTGAACCCGTGCAGGCAGACCCCTGGCCTCGCCCCGGAGCTTGTTCAGGTTGCCTTCCAAGAGGCGCCGCTGGACCACACTATGAGGCTGCTGTCTCCATCACAAAGAAAGAGAAATCCCAGCTAAGTATGGAGCTAAGGACAAGGATATTTGCTAGCCCAAGGATGCAGGTTGGAAATGCTTAACCCAAATGTCGTCCTGATGAAAGACATGCTTATCCAAAAAAACTTTCTTTAAATCCTAAGATTTTTTTTGGTAGCTGCTAATTTGGTGTTAAAGTGTTGGGATGTCTGCGGCAGGCAGGTCTCTGGGATGCAATTATTGGAGGAGAAGAATATGCCTGATGCATGCTCTCCCCACACATATCTGTTCCTTCAGCTAAACATGCACTGGAGAGTCTAATTTCTAATTAGAAATTTTGAATTAGTGCACTGCCTGCTGGGTGTGTGCTGACATCCCACCAGGCACATTCACACCTTCCAGTGTGGGAGGGCACGAGGAACACAGCATGTGTGTGGTGCACATGTGGGCAAGAAGGCAGGACTGCAGATATTTTAGGTGTACCAGCAATTATTTGTAGTGAAGCAGGAAGCTCCCCTAGGAGGAAACTAAAACGAGCTTCTAATGTTCCTTGGAGTCTGTCTCTGCTCCCCACCATCAGATGCTCTAGATTTTGCCCAGTATTGATCCATCCAGTCCCTGAACAGCTACTGAATCAACGATGGGCAACACCAATGAAACAGGTGCCTGTTGCAGGTAGCTTTGTCCTTTATCCATGTACTCAGCCCCACAGCCCTTCTGCAGGAGTGCAGCTGCTCTGGGTTGGCCATGGCATTCCCAGTAACAACAGCCTGTTTGAAGAAAGGCAAACAATCTAAAGGGGTTAATGTGCTACAGCTTAAATTGTTGTTTTTATCTCTCTGAAGAAAAAGAAAAAATTAAGTAATCTCCCAGGTGGTGTAGCAGTTTGATGCAGGATCTTGTCAATGAGCAGGCAAAACACCTGAACTAGACCAGACCTGCCAATGAGCTGGGCTGCATTAACCCCACAGGTTTCTTGTGTTTCAGACTAGTCTCATGCATGGCTAGAGAGCTGAGGCCAGAGAAGCGTGCAAGCTGCAATTTGAAGTACCCTGATTAGTCAGATTTGCCCAGTGGTTGGTGCAGGATGGCTGCCACTGGCTCTTTGGTCACACTCAGCATTGCCCTTTGCAAGATAACAAGTTCCTCTTACCTCTGCCTCCCTGCCACTTCAAGGGGTGAGAGTCAGATCGTTCACTTGCTGCATGTGAAACACCACAGCAGTTGAAAAAATGGGGTAAAAATATCCCTCTGTTCCTGGTCTTTTCCCAGCCTACTGTGCTGGTCCACAGCACAGCTGGCCCTTGTGCTTAGCTCCCTAAATACTCTGAGCACAGTGCCAGTTTGTCTGCCAGCTAACATCTGGGCCATGGGAAAAGGGCAGGGAACAAACAGCAGGTCCCCAAATTCCCATCCTCCCTCCCGCCTCCCACAATCTGGCATGCAAAGACCTTTCCCACAGAACGAGCAAGCTCTTTGCAGCTGCCACCTCTGTCCCCTTCTCGTCACTCAGGCTGGGAAGAGGCCAAGTCCTGGTGGGGATTAGCTGAGCTTTGGGATTTTGGAGGCATCTGGTTCAAGAGCAGACTCCTAGGGCCCTGCCTATCTTCTCTCTCACCAGTGAGATGGAGAAGTGGAGAGAGCGTTGTAGCTCTTGGACTGGTCAGAAACAATTAGATTTAGAGGATGGCAAGGGAGGATGTTGTGAGTGTTGTGGCCAGGAGCTGGAAAGGATGCCCTCTCAGGGCACTTAGAGGGATCAAAGAAGATTCCCAGTGCAACTTAGGGAAGGTTCAGGTTTTCCAATGTGAAACCTCCAGGCCTTGCTATGATTAGTGACATTGTATGAGCTGGGTATCTTGATTTTTGGGAGGTGAGAAGCCAGATCTTCAGGCCTTCTTGGTATTTCCAGAATATTTTAGCTCATGTAGCTACTTTTTTTTTTTTTAATTTTCCATTTAAAAAAACCCCAAAACTGATCATGCTTTTTGTTGCAAAGGTGGAAACACGAGATCTCCACGGAAATGTGTAATTACTCATTATTGGAGACATGATGGGCCCATCAAAATGCAGGCACTTCTGGATGCATTGCATAAGCTGAGTGCAGACCCAGAATACACAGAAAAGAGTGGCAAAAACTAACAGCTTGTGACTGCGAAAGAAAGTAGGTATTTTATTTTAAATTACATGAGGCCTTGCTCTAGTTTTAGGACATGGAGCTGCCACAGCTGGAGTCTCTGGTACTGTCAATGGAGACCTGTTTTGGGGAATTAATTAAACTTTCCTCCCAGTCAGTGCTGTAGGAGTCAGGGGTGTTTTACTCTCTCTATCCAAATCAAACTCTCCAGCACATCCTACTGCTGCTTCATTTTCAGTACATTCCTTTTTTGTATTCCTGTCCTCCAGGAGGGAGCCAGATCAATTTAGGAAAAAGAGATGGGGTTTTCATAGTGCTGGAGAAATGTCTAGAAAAATAAGCCAAAAGCATATTTGGGGCTCTGATTTGCAGTGCCCAAAACATCACAGCAATATCACAGTGTCCCATGAGTTGCAGGAACCTCTGAATCCCACTTGGAAATCTAAGACCTGGTTCTTCTTTCGCTCCAAGTTAAAGCAGAAACAGAGGTACCACATTGACCCCAGGTATGGCACTGTGTGTGTGAACTTGGCACAACGGCCACACTTTATTTTGTGCCCTCTAACACCAGAGCAAAATGTCCATGTGAGAAAAACACGTCATGCTCCATTCACTGCTCCTTAGGTCCATGGTAAAAATGTTTCAGCTATTCTGTTATGGACCAAACATGAAGTTGCAGTGGGTTGCAGTGACTGAATGCTGTCGGCATACAGCAAGTTCTCCTGCCTGGAATGGTTATTTCCAGCAGGACTGTCTCGCCCAAGGAACCCCTTAGGGCTTCAGGGTACCTTCATGTCACTTTGAGGCATGGTGTGACAGGAATCAGTCCCAAAGCAAAGCTGGCAGATGTGTTTCTGCCTGCCTTTGTGGCTGGAGTCAGCGAACACGCACCAGAAGCCTCAGAAGTGGCTCATCCCCATACCCTGCCCAGGGATGCTGTGCTCCGGAGGGGATGTTGGAGCTGCAGCACTGCAGGCCCCAAGGGCCAGCACTGGCTCTCCGGGCTCCAGCGTGGCCAGAGCTCCTTCCCCACGGGGAGGAGAGTCCCTGCTCCTTGCTAGGACAGCACAGATGTGACATGGCTCTCGCCCTCCAGCCGTGACTGCACGCAGGGCTGGAGGGACACTCCACACCATCCCTGCTGACAGCCATGAGCACGGCTGCAGAACGGGAGCAGCAGCTCAGGGGCACTTGGAGGAACTACCCAGCCCCTGCCATGCCAGGGACTCCCAGCAGCTGCTAAGGGAGCTGAGGGAGCTGCAGGGAGGGTGGTGGGAGTGGCAGGATGTGCCAGCACGGGAACATGGCACTGACCCCTCGTCTGCAAGCCACTGCACCCCAAGGTTTCTGCAGGGAGGATCAGCTCCCGTTAGTGCCAGGTCCCACACGTGTGTGGCCCTGTGCCACTGCGTGCCTGGGGAGCTGGGAAATGACTGGAGGCACACACACAAGAGCATCTGTGGTGCTGCTGCCACTGTCTGAGGATACAGAGGGGAGCACAGACTGCAGGCAGGGACAAGATCTTTTATGACACCCACTGCCACAGATGGAACAAGTGATTGTGCCCCCATCACAACCAGATGTGAGCCCTCCTTTGGGAAAATGGTTTAGACCTCCACATCCTTGAGCAGTTTAACTCTACAGCGGAGAGAAGTTGGACAGCAAAACTGCCTGAGCAAGGAGAGTATGTGTGCAGTTGAGCCAGGGAATCTGCTTCCAGCCTCGAGGAAACCCTTCCAGACCACAGACTGCCAAGGCTGCTGGAACAGACCTCCCTCCCTGATGCTCCCTGATCCACGTCACCACAAGGAGATGCCCACAGGCCTCGCTCCAGTGCCTCCTCCCCAAAGGAGTCATCCAGAGTGCCAGGTGCTGCATCTGCCTGCCTGCCTGTCTGGTTTGCAGTCCTGCCCTTTGCTTGCCCCTCCATAAATTCAGAGAGTGGGGGAAAAGAGAAAAATGCAAAAAGGGACAAGGTCAAACATAAGTCTCTCAGAATTTCATTAATTGTACTTCCCTCCCTTCTGAGTCCAGGAAGCATTCTGCTTTTGAGCTGGATCTTGCAGGGATACATGGGGGCTTTCAGAGATGTCCCACATGGAAATATACGTGTCACATGAACATACATAGGTATCGGGTGAATGGAAATTTGGATTCTGGAGAGTCCTTCCAGTCCATGTCTGCCTGAGGAGTTTGGTTCCTATGCGGAGGCACAAATAGATGGATGCAAGCAAATGAGTGATTAATTCTTTCCCCTCACCCTGACCTGCTTCTAGATGATCCTGAAGGGAAGTCTAATTTTTGCTGGACCTATGATCCTTTCACAAAACCTGACAGCAGCTCCCAACTGGAATGGAGGCTATCAGGGGAACCCCCTCCCAAACGGGATCCCACTGGACTCACCAGATCCTTGGAGGTGCCAAGCCTTGTCAAGCCATCCAGGGGCAGCAGATCAGCAGAGTCCTTGTGCACAAACTGGGTGGCCTGTTTGAGGCGCCTCTTCTGTTGCAGAATAGCTTTGTTCCTCAGCTCCATCTCACACTCCTGTCGCTCCAGGTCGGGAGCGCCCTCGCTCTGCTTCTCCTCCTGGTCTCCTTGCCCCAGTGGCAGGGGGCAACTCTTCCTTGCGCTCATGGTGAAGATTCAGAGAGAACAGGTCCTTCTTGGTGTGCTGGGGTGTTCCCTGAACTCGTCTCCTGGTGTTTGCCCTCTGGAGGCTGACTCAGTCTCTGATCTCCTTTCCCTTTCTCTTCCTCACGGCTCTCCTTCTCTTCCTTTCTCTGCCTTTCCTCCTGCTCTCTCAGTTATAACTCACCCATCTCTGAAGTGTCTCGGTGCCTGTTTCTCCCTCTGTCCTCTCCACTCCGTGTCCCTGTGCTCCCGCCTCTTCCCCTCCCTCACTTCTCCTGCCCTGACTGCAGCTTTGCCTCCTCCAGTCCGTGGGTCCGTGTCGTAATAGAAAAAGCCCCGCGTCAGAAACCGCTTTCCATAAATCACGGCAGAGCCGGCAGGATGCTCCGGCTGGAAAAATCCAGCAGCAGGAGGATGGCCCCGCTGGATGCTGGGGGCTGGACTTACCTCGGCGGGCTGCGCGCACGCACCGCGCGTGTCCGTGTCCGTGTCCGTGTCCGTGTCCGTGTCCGTGTCCGTGTCCGTGTCCGTGTCCGTGTGCGTGTCCGTGTCCGTGTCCGTGTGTGTGCCCGCCTGTCCCCGGCTCCTGGGGACACGCTACAGCAGCCGGCGGCAGCCTGCGCGCTCCGCTGCCTCTGCCAGGGGGATTTGATGCTTCTCCGTGTCTCTGTAAATCCTGGCAGCAGCTCGGGTCAGCCTGGAAGATGATGCATTGCCTTGGTAAATGGGAGAGAGTATCCTCCTCAAGGCTCCTGGCAGGCATGCCCAGTCTCATTTCTGCAGAGAGTGTCGTGCCTTTGCAATAGGCTGCGCTGAGGGATTGTTCTGTGTAGCTTGAATGAAATGCTGAAGGTCTGCTTTCTGCTTCCAGCCAAGGCAGGCTCTGTATTGTGCCCGACTCTGCCCTCATTTCCACCCCACTCCACCAAAGGCAATTCCCTCTGATGTTGCCGGAGCCTAAAATCACTGGCTTGTTGATACCAACAGACTTGGCTCCCTGTTTATACCAAAAGAGTGCTGACACTGCTGCAGTGTGGGATGTCTGGACCAGAGCAGACATCCCTTCTCTTAGGAGAGACAGGACATAGTAGAGCTCTGGTTTTCAACTTTCTGTCTCCATATTGTCCTGCTTGAAACTATGAATTTTAACTTGAACTGATGCTGTCTCATTTTGATCCCTTTTCTCTGGTTAATGCACTGCCCTGCTAAGCACCAGGTCTGATATCAGGTGCAGGGGAGGAACCAACACTTTACTCAGCTGTGAAGCTAAGGACAGCATTACATTTCCAGGAAAGCCAGCAAGGGGTGAAACAGCTTTTATGTGCATCACAGAAGGAATAGCAGCAACTGACTACAAAACTTATAACAAAAGGACACTTTCTGTTGCTCCTTTTGTCTGTTTTCTATCTTAGTAGTATGTAACATTCCAGTATTACTGATACCAATTATTTCTGTGTTCTAAACTGTGTATAAAAAAGTGAGTATTAAATATTAAGAAGCAAATCCAATACAAGGTATTATGGTTTCCACCAAATCACAGCACTACATTTTTCAGGAGTAGGAGTGGAAATACATTCTAGCTGCTTTATACTCCAAGGCCAAACTTCAATACCATAATGCAGGGAGAGTCTCAACAACAGCTCAGAGGTGTTTTGAGCTGTCCTTATCTATCTGTGAGTCAAATTAAGAAGAGAATTTAAGTAATGAATATTTCTAGGGAACCTGTGTTCCCACAGTCTTGTTTTCTTGCCTGTGGGTTGCTCTGATTCCTGATTTACGCACACTTTTGACCTCCTGTGGCCCCACTGAGTATCCTCTGACTCTTGCCATCAGGCCCTTTAACCATCCATGTCATCCAGTACAGAATTGTGCATCTCTACTCTCACACAGGGCCGGGAGGTGCTTCCCCTCCTGCTGACTGTGAATACCTCAGCCACAACAAGGCAGATAATGGTAACAAGGGCACTGCCAATTTTCTTAAGGCCTCAGAATGGACCCTAAGACTGTAAAGTGCTACAGAACATCCTAGGAGCAGATCACCTACAGTCCCTGCCTTGAAGTCTATGGGCAGAGTTACACAATTTCTGATGAGATCACCTCCCACCCTAGATGTGTATGTGGGAATGAAGAGGAGGGAGCTCTCCTAGTTCCCAGTCCCAGCACCTCCTTGCAGCTAGCCACACTTTATTAGTTTATTTTGCACAGCATTTTGGCTAAATCTGATCAAAATTGGTTTGCCTTGCAGCTGGGCTGGAGCCACTGCTTGAGCAGTTCTGCTTTTGGGTCTCACCAGTTAGTGCTGGTCCCTAACTCATTAAGTATTTCTCTCTTTGTGCCTCAAAGGGGAGGAATCTTCAAGTCTTGTTTAAAGCTTTCTCTCTTCCTTCATCACTTCTGCTTCTACATTTAGATCACTTAACTCTTTATATGCTGTGATGTGTTAGTTCCTAGATCTGGCAAAAAATCCCAGCATTTTTATGGGGGTGAAATCAGCTAAGGTACTACATTCTCCCATCAAAGACATGATAGGTTCTAGGTCACTGTTTCTTTTCTATTCAGCTATTACTTTTTCCATCCTGTTCCTCTTAAACAGAGCCCATTTACTAAGTAGGTTAGGTGATTTCTGGCTTAGTGTTTTGTTTTTTTTTTTTTTCAGAATGGACACTTCTATAGGTTTTCTAATGAGAAATCAGACCACAGTTCAGTAAATTTAAGGGGAATTTGCAGCAGTTATACCTTTCCCAGTCATCTTTTGCAGGCCCTGAAAAATAATGTATGACTCACCATTAACCTGTATTAGAAAAATAAAACTGATTTTGATGCAAATATTCATACACAATCCCATATACACCAATAAACTATTTCTGATGCAGTCACATCAAATAATCATAACCCATTATAGCTCGATATTCTGCACCCTTCATACAGGAATCTTTACAGGGTTTGTAAGAGTGCTATTTAGACAATAGAAGAAACACTCTGCCTCCACAGAATATAAAAGCTCTTCTCCCTGCTCCAGCTGCCAGTTTGGCCTTCCAGCTCAAACAGTTACAGGTCAGTGGGAGCTCTGGTGCAAAATGTTCCAGGTTCTAAGCACTTCAGCCGTGTTCATGGGTGTTGGTCCCTGGACCTGATCACCTCCGTGCCTGAGAAGCCCTGAGGAAATCAGAAGTAGTGCCCATACTTCTAAGGAAAGGCCCTGAAGAGCAGCATTTTTCCCAGAAGCCAGTTTGCCCAGCCAAGAAGCAAGAGAGGGTCAATATATTCCAGTCAGCTACTCATCTGTTGGAAGAAATTCATTATTAGTACCTGGAGTAGTAAAGGGGAAAAATGGACTCTGTTGAAGGAAGCAACTGGCAGATTAAAGAATGTGAGGCAAAGGTTTTACTTCCCTCTGTCAGGAGCATTAAAGAGCATCCTAGTTGTTTGAGAAGCTGCTCAGTTGAGCACTTCCACTGGTTTGGCTTTAAATTTCATGGGCTGATGTCCTTCTGCCCCAGATTTTCCTTATATCTCACTTCTGGGAAGCTTTACCTAGCCTAATAACTCCTCTTTAAAATATTCTCCTGCTAATTTGGCAACTTCTAATGGTTGCTTCTCTTTCTTAGAGATTTCTTTTCAGCTTTGAATTTATCTCTTTCAACAGTTTGGAAACTATTATTTTGTCCCCCTGAGATTTGACACAGTGGAGGTGGGAGGGTGGATTGTAGATGGAGAACTTCATATTTCTGTTGTGACAATCTGGGTGCTTACAGAGCTCAGCAATAGCTCCCACATAATGTAACCAGCACAGAGGTTGTTTTTACAGTACACCAGTTTCCAGTGCACTATCTCAGTAGTAATGTAAGCTTCAAGTGGGTGTAAAAGTGACCCTGGGGTGTAGCAACTATGTCAAAGCCAGGAGATTCCTTGTGGTGGATACTGCAGGGTAACAATGAGGCCACTTTCTGCTCATTCTCCTGCATTCTCACAGCCTGTGCAGTCTGTGGGTGCACAGATGGTGCAGAGGAGGAATGAGAGGACAAACCTTACTCAGGCAAACCATGCATGCTTCTCTCTCCCTTCCATCTCTGAAAAAGATTCTTTGAAAAAGAAAAGGCTCCTCTGCTTTGAATTCCCTCCAGTTCTCTGTTTGTATATTAAAATACCTTTGTATTCTTGAAATAATAAGTAAAAGGTTGCAGTATTTATATCTGTGAGTATGTCTGGCAAGTTTCCTTGAGATAAATGTCATCTCAGATGTACATAATGTTTAGCTCAGCTGCTGGACAGCAAAGTGTGTCCTGCCAGCAAGGTCAGTCAGAAAGTAGAATAGTTTGCTTAGTTAGGTAATTTAGGGTCAAGTCTCTGTAGTTATCTGCCCTGTGGGATAGATTTATGGTTGCACTGTGGCAAACTTGGAGCAGTGTTGTCTAATATGAAATTCTTCTGCTGTATAAATATTTCTTGATCATTATAAATACAGTTATGAATATAATATTGTTATAATGATTTGTGTCCTCTCTGTATTGATTTTCTTCTTTAGGCTAAACTGTGTTTAAAAAGGGCCTTTTCTGTTTGGTTGGAATTATCATTGCCACAGAACTGACAGCTGATTGTGCAGCAGACAATACAAAATTTCCCCTTCCATTACACAGATCACACTGGAAGACTTTGCCTTTGCTTTCAGGAGGGGAAAGAATCTCCACTGGTGTGCATCTCCACTGATGCACATCGCAATGGCAGCTGTCTTACTCATGCCAGAGCTTCTCTCTGGTCAGCATGAGGTTTAAAGTAGAGAATAATTCCTGGTAGGAATTTGCTTACCCATAAAAGTGTGCAAGAGCCTGAGATGAAGGATAGTTATTCATTTAAGGTCGATAGCACAGTATTTGGAAATGTGTAGTCTCAAAGGTGTCTCTCCTTTGTGTGTCTCTCTGCAGTTGTTTCATTTTGCTGTCCCTCCACTTCCCACCTGTATGGACAACAATATTTCCATTATCCACTTCGCTTGAGGCTAAGAATGCACTTGACACTAACACAGGCAATTTTTTCCAAGTCTCTACATAATGCCATAAAAATAATAATGAAAACTTTACACCATTAAGGCTCCTTCCAGAGGATGTCCCTAGAGCTGAATACTTGAGCAGTAAAAGCCATCACAGTTAGAGTTGCCTGGTAAAGCTTAATTTGGTATGCATATGTGTGGGCTTATTACTAAAACCACCTACAGAGTCTTGGCAAGGTGCGTTGAGTGGCTG